TGTATGTGTGTGTGTGCTTGCTAGGTAAGTGCTCTACCACTGGGCTCTAGCTCCAGCCCTTTTTTCATATTGTGGTTTTACCTAGTTTTTTTTTTTAATTTTTTTTTTTTTTATTGCTGGCCTTGAACTCACTGAGTAATGTCAGGTAGGTCTCTTAATAGTCACTCCTGCTAAGCCTTCTGAGCAGCTGGTTTTACATGACTGCCATGAGACCCAGCTAGAGTCCTTTGGATTGTTCAGAAGGTCTAAGCCAGTCTGTGTACTTAAGAAATGTCTTTAGATATTGTGTACCAATGTTGGTGTGGTGCATTTGGTTTGGCAGCATGTTCTGATAACCTTTCAAGAAGTAGATAGACGAAGAGCAAAAATCCACCCATGGTTTCTAACCTGTGTCACTCTATTGGCCTAAAATTTGGTCTCTGGGTAGGTACTGCAATAGAGGTTAAGATGGACTGACATACTGCAGATACACAGCTACATGAGACGTCATGAATTTCAAAGTTTGTGGACAAGCAAAGATACATTCAGGCCAAGAGCTGTTGGAATTGAATCAAGGAATCAATGGGTGTTTTGCACTGACCTGAGAATGACACACTGCAGCTGAAGCTCAGCAGAAAAAGATATATTCCTGGGCTTATAGGTGAGCCAAGTATTAACAATAGTTCCATCAAATGTGTGCTGTTGAGATAAGAGATCTTTGAAGTATACATATGGATTGTCACAATGCATTTTAATATATTCAAATAAGAAATAGAAAAACTACCACCCCAAGAAATAAAGATGTGCAGTTAAATTAATGTGCTTAAAGTTCTCCCTCCAATGTGGAAGTACTTAACAAACAGAAAATAAAGCAACACCATCGACAGGATTTGTGATTTAGATTATCAAGAGGTTGGTCACATTATTCCTGGAGCTTTCCCACTAGCCTTTCCAAATATAAGTTTTAGCAAGTGTTTATTACTTAGATGGAAACTTGCTCTATGAGTATTTAAAAAGATGAAGAAGCTAGTTGAAGGATTCTGAAACACTCTTCCTGATATGACTGACTTCAAACATAGTATTTGGCTTTTACTTTGGATTTCCAAGTTTCTAAAAGCATATCAGAAGGAAGACTGCTAACTAAAAAAAAAAAGTGATATGTTTGTACTGACCAATTACATTTCCTGAGCATGACATGCATATGGATTTCATAGTAAGTTACAAATCTTATGGTTTTCCCGACTTTTGGGATCACATTAGATATGGTGTATGATCCTAGTTAATAGGTTCCAAAATCAGTAACTCATTGAGTAAACAGGTTAGCTGAAGAGTATTCTGTAAGATAGATGATTCATGTGATTGCCAGGGTCTGAAAGATTTACCTCATCTGGCTTTCAAATCAAGAGGTTAGGCAGACAAACACTATTAAAACCATGAAGTGGCCTTGTGATGGCTGGCAGAGTTTAAGCTGGGTCATTTGTAGAAAATGTCTGCCCAGAGCAAGGGGTCAGGAGAAATCAGTATAGGTATTTTGACCTGTTTCTTACCTGTGGTCCTTGTACCGTAGGATAGGTAGCTCTCTGTTATATGTAGAAGGGCTAAATGCCTGGCTCCTCCTCACCAGATGTCAGCTGCACCCTCCCCTCTTTGGATGGAATCATGAGTATTGTATCCCCAAATTGCCCACTGCCCCCTGTAGAGAAGATTGTTCCCACTTGATAATGATGGACTTCACTTCTATGAAGGACTCTATATTTGACACTTGCTTTTAGCTGTTAAAAACCTCAAAATGCCTTTGGATTTCTTTTGATGGATGCATGGAAACAAATCAGAGTGCCTGGCATCTTGCTGTGGGTAAGGACAGGCTTGAGAAATATACAAAGATAGACAATATATTATGAGACAGAGAGGACTGGAAGATCTTCATGTCAGTTTGGTTAAGTTATCCCATGCACACAACATGAAGTTTAGGTTCCTAGAAGAACACTTATTTCTATGACTACAGCAATGCAAATGAAGATAGATGCAATATTTTAAATTTACCTTGGATGTGCTTGAAACTTTCTATAGTGTCTTAAGGCCTGGGCCCTAAGCACAGTGCACTAAGGAGGAGGAGTTACCCTCAGGAATAAGCTATAGGTTAGTGATAGAGACAGATCTGTAAGTCAAGTACAATAGGGTACTTCCCTAGGGATATATTCTATGGATATTTTTCTTCTCATTGTTCATTTCATTCTGCTCAGAGTCATGATAGAACTAAAGCAACAAGTTCAGACTAGGCATCAGCAAGCCTCTTTTCTGACCCTTGCTCTGCTATATTCTAACTACATGTGTTGGTCTACATGGCTGGCTTTTATGCCCCAATCCATCACTCTATATAAGTGGAAGCAGAATTGATCCAGTAGGATTACATATGTAAAAAGCCATGTGAAAATAATCTGTGTCATATTAATAGAACACTAACTTATTTTTATAGAAAGCTTATAGTTTTCTTATTCATGTCTAGTATCCTATACATAATAAGTCTCTGGTGCATGAATAGAAATAACAAAAAAATTCTTTGTGTTTCTCTTAGGCTAAGGTGCTAGGATGGTAATACCAGTGTTATGTATGTATTACAAGAACAGAAAACAATACTTGAAAAGACTTTGCAGATAGCACCAAGAAAAACAATTCCTTCTCTTACCTCTATGAAAGCCCCACAGGAACTGATATCATAAAAAAATTCAAGTTCATCTGGTCTCATGGAAGTTACTGGGCAGTCTTGCCCTAGGAATAATTCATCAGGGTCAACGAATTCATCTGGGAAAAACAGTGCCCTTTTAGCTATAACTCGGAATTTAAAGTAATTGCATTCCATGGATACTGTTGAAAGAGATGAAAAAGGAATCAGCTGCTCCACTTTAATACGTAGCAAAGAACTTTGATCCAAATTAGGGAAATGATAAACCCAATTTAATCAAAATTAATAACAGTTTAGGGATGTGGGCAAAGATGATTACTTTCATGATATGACTCCCCTTCTCTTGTCTTCCTATTGATATTCCTCAAATAGAATCAACTTGCAAAACACTCGGTAGTTCTGCCTGAGATTAACCATAGTGACTATTTAGAATGAAAGCAGAGGTATGTCCTTTTATTAGACTGCTAATACTGGGTTCACCAAGCGCCTGCCAGTGTTGCTAGATTCACTGGCCAGCAAACCCTGGCAGTCCTTCTGTCTCTGCCTCCCAATCACTGGAATTACAGGCTTTTTCTGTGTGTTGGAGATCTGAGCTCAAATTGTTATGCTTGCATGAAAAGTAACTTCACTAGTTGAACTATCTCCATGGCCCCTAGGTTTTAATTTTCAGGCCATGGCTGTGTGCCAAATAGTAGCAGATATGTATTTCATGTGGAGAGAAGATGCAAGTCTTTCAAGTTCCAAGAGTGAACGTTATGCAGAGTCTGAACGTTATGCTTTATGGACCCACTATAGTGCACTGCCCTGGAAATCAGAATGTTCAATTTATGCCTCTGCTGGACTCCTTTGAGCTTTAGGACAAATATCCAATTAGCTATCAGATATACAAAGGATATTTGAAATAGTCTTCCTCAGCATGCCCATGATTTACATGGAACCCATGGTTTTTACATCACTTCCATTTGTATGTCCTCATTCTCAGTCAACAGCACCACACTCACCAACGCTGAAGCCTTAGGATCTAGTCCCAGTTCCCACATCTCTTCCTTCCCACTGTCTCCCACTGAGTCAATTCACTTTTACTTTCAAAATTGATCTCCCATCGACTTCTGCTTGGCTGCACCTTTGGGTCCATCACTGTCCCTTACATGGGCCACCTCAGCAACCTTGCAGAGGAGCTCACTGCCTCCAGCCTCATTTCTTTCATTCTTTGCAGCTGCCCTATGTTGATGGAAGGGTCCTCTTGCTTACACCTTTTTTCCTGCCTTCTCAGAGACCTCCACTTGTCTGTCTTTAAAAATGCTTTAATTTTTAAGTAATATTTTTCCAGTTCTTTAAAAAAATGTTTAATTAATTTTTGTCATATTTCATCAGCTTGGGCTATCACATTTGCAACAGGTATTTTGTATAATTCTCCTTTCATTTATAAAAAGGCAAAGAGTAGGCAATGTTTCTTGCCCTCTAACACCCCACCCTTCCTGTAAGCAGTGACAATATTATTCCCAAGGTTCCACAGTAACTGTGCTACCTCCAGGAATTCCTGTTTGTCCTCCAAATACTACACACATTATTCTTTGTGTGTGTGTGTTGTTATAATTTTTATTTCAGTTGGTAAAACTGAGGCTTAGAGAAGTTCTATAATTTTTGTAAGGTCTCATCAATAGGAAGATCATCTTTCAAATTCAGTTAGTTGACACTAAAATATTAGTATATTTAGTAAAAATGACAGTGAATTAGCAGTATATAATGCTATATTATGCCGAATAGTACTATAAAACAGTAATGAATATACAAAGTTTAAAGCTTAATATTTAGAAAATTCCATCTGTCAGTACATTTTCCTTTAAGCTGAACAGTATTTACCAGTACTTGATTTTTCTAGTTTCAGAGCATTGCAGTGCAATGCTGACACCACTTTGTACAGACTGAGACCCACTAGCCAGTGATGGGGTCTCAGAGACTGCCAGACTCTAAAATTGATCTCTGAAAAATTTTATAATACTTAACGAATTTTACAATTCTCAGAAAATACCTTCTTTGGCTCATTGGGTCAAAACAAGGGCCTCATGTATGGTAAGCACATTCTCAGCCTCAATACTGTTCTTAAATCTGAAAGCGAGGTATTTTAGCAGTGTTGTACACACATTATTCTTAGTACCCAGACTCAGTCAACTTTCCTTCTGAGACATTCTAATAGTTTCTTTGGAAAACTCTTAAGTTAACTTTTGTGTCCTTTGAGCTGAGTCTGTGGTAGTCTGTAGGACTTGAAGGTATTTTTAAATGATTTCTGTCCCATCATACCAGTGGTGAAACAAGGTTGCTTAGTCATTTGGGAAAGTTAGACCTCCTAAGGATCTGAGAGCCACCTGGGGTCAGTCTGTTTGGGATGCTGAATGCAGTCTATGTGTCACTGAGTTGGCTGTAGGAAAACACTGGAATGTTTAAGAACCTTTTATTGAGAATTTCTTTAAAGAATTGTACAATGACATAGGGAGGGCTTGAGAGATGATTACATAAAGAAAGCTAGTTAAGAATGTGTGGTTGGATAATGCAGGTAGGAAACTGTTAAAAGACAGATAAGCAGTAGGAAGAGAGAATCATGCAGAACAGATGGCTCAAGGGTGACCTGGCAGGAACCTGAAGAGTGCCTATGTAGAAGGAAGTGGCTGGGTGGTAGGAAGTCCAACTCTGAGAACCTCAGCAAACGTAATGACTTGAGTCCAGAATACCTTTACTTATGGGGGGATGGGAAAAGAAGACAAGACATGGATAATGAGAATTAAGTTTGTAAAATCTGTATGTCAGGCCAATAATGTTCTAGCAATCCAAGGGAAAACAACATAGAGGGCTAGGAATTAAGTCTCTAACTTTTCAGATGAGATGATAAAACCCTTGAAGCAAACAAACAAAAACCCTCGTAACTCATAGACATTTAAGAACTACCCCTTGAAAACATCACCCGTCAAGGTCCACTCTGATACCTTGCTGTATCCCAGAACATCTCCACATTCCAAATATGAGCAGCAGCAGTCCTGTAGCAATGAAGGCCTTCATTATGCCAGACCTCAGCCTGGGACCTCCTCAGGTATTGGGTAATTGAGAGGAACTAGCAAGCCAAAAGTGTTTTTATACCTAAGGCTATGCTCAGATGTATTCAATAAACCCAAATCAGGAGGAAAAAAAGTCCTTTAACACACGATTAACTCTAGCTTCCATGTCTTTCTTTATCAAATGGGCTAGAAATATATAGTATTAGCTAAGTGAATACAGCCACACATTATGAAATGGTTTTGAACTAACTGTGTAAGGCCTGAAAATGCTTGACTAGGTGGCCAATTTGCTGACCAGTTTTTGGTATTCTATGAGTAGATTTAGGGATGCCACTGATTCTTACACAATGCTGTACTTTGTCATCTATGGTTGAAGCCGTCTGCCCCAAGTTTGTAATATTTAGCTTACTTGAGTAACTCATTAATTAGTTAATTCATTGGTTGTACAAGGAGCTAACTTAGCAGAGGTTACTTACTATCAACAACCCAGGAAGGAGACTCAAATAGAGGCCCAAATATTGACCATTTCTAAAACAACCTTAAGAGAGCCCAGTGTTCTTCAGTGTTTTCATAATGTCCTTACTAGAGTGACATGTCTAAGCCTTTAATATCTTATATCTTTGTAAATGAGCCTTTCTAGATCAAGAGACAGATTTTAAGTCCCAGGCACTATAGCATGTCCCAAGAGAGTAGTATGTACTTCTGGAGAGATTGTTTCATCTGAAGACTTAAAAAAATTCCTATGATCCACATGTATTACTTTTCTATTGCTGTGCTAAAACACCATGAGCAAGGCAACTTACAAAAGAAAGCATTTATTTGGGCTTACTGTTCAGAAATAAAGAGCCCATGAGTATCATGGTGGGGCGCTAGGCAGCAGGCAGGCAGACATGGTGCTGGAGCAATAGCTGAGCACTCACATCTCAAGATACAATCATTAGACAGACAGACAGACAGACAGACAGACAGACAGAGCCAGAGAGAGAGACAGAGACAGAGAGGGACAGAGAGTGACACAGAGCACTGGGCATTCTTTTGAAATCTCAGAACCCTTGCCCAGTGACCACACCTCTTCCAGTCCAATAAAGCCATACTCTTAATCCTTCCCAAACAGTGCCACAAACTGGGGACCGAGTATTCAAATATATGAGCTTATAGAGGACATTTTCATTCAAACCAGCAAACCATAAAAGTCTTAGGTTTTCTTCAGGTATGTCAATAAATGTTTTTTAAACTTCTACATTAGTATTTATTGTACAAGTTCAGGATGCTAGTATTATGTTTTTAATATAACCAACAGTAAAATGAGCATGTGGAAAATGTCCTTGGAAGACTTATCTAAAAAACAATTTTACATGCATGAAAAAGATACTGTAGCATGAAAGAGAAGTTTCATGTATACCTAGAATAAAACTGTAATACATCAAACATGCAACTTCCAGCTCAAACCTCCTGTACTATGCTGTTCAGTTTTTTTCTACTTCAGAGATAGTTTGAGAGACATCAGATAGATAGTTCTGAAAATATCATTCATTTTTCACAGTATTTTAAAAGTTAAACTAGGTGTAGCAAACTTGACATCTAAGTATATTGAGGAAGAAAGGGGGAAGAGTCCTGTTAATCAAGCAACTTTAAGAAATCCCATTAGCCAGGTGTGGTGGCACACACATTTTATCCCAGAACTCAGGAAGCAGAAGCAGGCAGAACTCTGTGAGTTTGAGGCCAGCCTGGTTTATATAAGGAGTTCTACAAAAGCCTGGACTACATAGTAAGACCTGTCTCAAACCTCTGACCTAAAACAAAACCAAAATGAAAGAAAATCCATGAAATGATTCAAAATGCGAGTACAAAATTTGCTAAAAATATAAATCTAAAGGCCTACCTAATATTTTTCTTAGTGATAGATATTGTGATTCTTTCTAAAGTTTTCCAGAAAGTATGTATGTGTGTATGAAGTGTACATGTTTATGTATATATAAGTATATGCCATCACAGAAGAATATGGCTTCCCCTCCTCCACCAATCATTAATTGCCTATTGTTCCTCAGGGAAAGGTGAGACTTTATGAGCCTCTCTTCCATCCATAATGATATGTTGCAGGACCTCATCTTGTACAATTTATCCTGAGAATAGCCACTCCTCCTGTGAGTTCATGTGTACAACAGCTATGTCATGTCTGGAAGACATTTTTCATATCCCCTCCCTGTCCCCCAGGTCTTACATTCTTTCTGCCTTTATTATGTGCTGGTTCTTGAAAGTCTGTACATGTAGGGGTCATTTCTATAACGATGCTCCTTGAGTCTTGGTGAAGGTGATGTAGATGCCCCTTTAGGGATGAACTCCAAACAGTACTTATTCTCAACCCTCTGACTAGTGGTGAGTTTGTGCACTGACCATGGCCCACTGCAAACAGAACTTCTCTGATGAAACCTGAGAGCAATGCTAAACTATGGGCACAAACATAAATGTTTAATGACAGTTTGACACTGTGTCCATTTAGTGAAAAAGAAGTACTCAGATTTTTAAAAACACTGTCATATATAACCTGCATGTTTGTCTGTACATTATATGTGTGCCTGTGGAAGTCATGAGAGGCTGTTGAGTCTCCTGGAGTTACAGATGCTTGTGAGCCACCATGTGTGTAGGAGTTGACCACAGGTTGCCCTGGAAGAGTGAATAGTGGTCTTAACTGCTTATTCATCTCTCCAGTTTCCCATACCCTGAATTTTTAAAAACTGAGAAGTTATATAAATTTAAGCAGAGGGAAAAATAGAGATTGGATGCATACATTCTTATTGTATTAAGAAATAAAAAAAAATAGCAGGGATAAAAAAGGGGAGAAGTAGGTCCCAGGGTGCAAACTCCCAGTTATCTAAGATGATGAAATTTAGATATGTAGCATACAACACAGAGACCATAGGTGATAGTATTGTATTCCATACTGAACCTTTGCTAATGCATGTGCACGTGCGTGCGCACAGACAGACAGACAGACAGGTAGACAGAAACAGAGACAGACAGAGACAGACACGGTGTGGGAGGGGAAGAGAGGGGCGGGAACACATGATTATTGAAGGATGGTAGAAGGTTTTGTTCATTTATTTGACAGCAAGTATAAGAACTTCTTCAGGTTGACTATGTTTTTGTAATACAAGTGGGTTCAATATACTTGAAAAATTCTTTTTTTTTTTTTAAGTGCTGGGGTTTGAACCCAGGCCCTTGAGATTTTTAGGCAAGTGCTCTACCACTGGACTAATTCACCAACCTTAAGAAATTGTTAAGTGGTAAGTAGTTACATTTCTTTCTACTGTTACATCTTTGTCTCTTATTTTTGCAACAGATTTACTAAGACCTGGAGATAGTGACTATGTAAAACTGTTATTAATTAATTGATTAAGTAATTATTAATTAATTTTGGTGTGTGTGTTTTGTTTTGAGAGAGCATCTCATATAACCCCATACATAATCACACCTAATTTTTGAAGTGCTGAGTATCAAACCAAGGGCTTTGTGTATGCTAGGCAAGGTATCTACTATTTCAGTTACAACCCCAGCTTTCTATTAGAAAAAACTGTAGTGCAATAATACATTTCAGGCAATACAGTCAAGAGATGGTACAGTCCTCTAGTCATGTTACCTTTCAGTAGCTCTGTCTTTCACGCTATAATATTATGGTATGTAGTTCTGAACTCAAGTAACTGATGATCTAGAGATGAAAAAGTAGGATGAGCCTGGATCTGATATTTTGGTGTGCTGGGAATCAAACATTTTTTTTCTTTTTTGGTTTTTCGAGACAGGGTTTCTCTGTGTAGTTCTGGTTGTCCTGGAACTCACTCTGTAGACCAGGCTAGCCTCAAACTCAGAAATCCGCCTGCCTCTGCCTCCCAAGTGCTGGGATTAAAGGTGTGTGCCACCACTGCCCGGCTGGGAATCAGACTTTTAGGCCTGCGAAAGATAGGTAAATTTCTCACCATTAAGTTACATTCCCAACACTCAACTATGCATTTAAGATGTTTTTCATAGTGAGAGTATAACTTCTCATTTTGGAGAAGTGTCAACTTTCATTTGGAAGAAAGGAATTGAAATGTGGTGTAAATTATTTTCAGGCCTTGATACTTGAAATGTAGTCCTAGAGAGTCATTGGTGTCACCTGAGAATTTATTACAACTGCAGCAACTCTGGATATCTCCCCCACTTCTGAGTTAGAACCAGCTTTGTAACAAGGTACTCAGGTGATCTGTGTATTTTTTTTAAGTTTGTAAACAAAACCTGCTAACGAGCATCAACATAGCACGCTCTGTGAAGGCAAGTCCCCATGGCCCAGAGATTCTGAAGATATTAGTATCAGTGTAACTTGGGAACTTGGAAATGTAAATTCCATGTCCCACTCTAGTCTTGCTCAGTCAGAAAAAAAGAACAGATATAATTCAGCCATGGTGTATTAAAAAGAACACTCTTCAGGTGAGTCTGATTGAGAGCTATACTCAGAGGTGGATTGGTGGGATGATTATGTGAGGCCTCATGGGGTTGAGTCTTTGCATTCTCAGCTACACAGGACAATTATATTCTCAGACAGTCCTTCAGTGTTCAGATACAGAGACACAGATATGTTGGGATGCTAGCGAGTTTTAAGAAAGTATATAAAGCCACTCTATACATAATTGTACAGATTCTAACAAAAGTCAGGCTTCAGTTCTTGTGAATCACCTGGAGAAGTCTCATCTTTCTGCAGTCATAATCCAGAGCTGGATTGGAGTTTCAAGTGTGCCATTCTGGAGTGTTCTCAGATTTTACATCATGTTCACTCTAGCTTTTCAATACTTAAAGTGTTTCACGTTAGACAAGGAACTGCAGGCACATGTGCTGTTAAGGGTGCTAGTTAAATACTCCCACCTGAAGGTCCTCTGTTCCAGCACATAAGAAGGCCTCTGACTCTTTCCTGTTTCTCATTTCCTCTGGGGTTCAATTTTTCAGTCTGAGCAATGAAGCCTTTCCTGGGTTTACAGGGCCTTCTCCTGCTTCTTCCCTTTATGAAGACTTGTGCTGATGATTGGTCAGGTATCACTCGTGACTTAGAAAATTGGAATTTCTTAACATGTGCTGAAGGATGTGGTATTTAGACTTTTTCATATAGATTGTTTTTTTTCAGTAGCATGATCTTAGAATGTCACAATTCTACTGAGACTAGACACTGTCTTAACTTGAGTTTTTTTCTTTCTCCTGCTTCTCTTTTCTTTTGATTCTTTCCAGACTATGTCACATTCTGGGGGCTGGATACTTGAAGTGAGTTAGTATTAAGGAAAGTCGAGTGACCTAGAAAGCACAGAAGTGTTTCTGTGCTGTTAAAAATTCAGGAATCACTGGGCTTGCTGGTACACATCTTTAATCCAGCACTCTGAGGGCAGGGGCAGGGGCAGGGGCAGGGGCAGGGGCAGGGGCAGGGGCA